CGCCACTCGACCCAACTCACCACCAGATGGTGATCAGTTGACAACTCCGCCCCTCTCTTTACCCGAGTGTCCAAAACATACGGCCTCAGGTCCGATGATACGATAACAAAATCGATCATGGACCTTCTGCCTAGGGTGCTCTGGTACCACGTACACTTATGAGCATCCTTATGTTCGAACATGGTGTTTGTTATGGCCAATCCATGACTAGCACAGAAGTCCAGTAACAAACCACCACTCCGGTTCAGATCAGGGGGGCCGTTCCTCCCAATCACCCCCTCCAAGTGTCTCCATCATTGCCCACATGTGCGTTGAAGTCTCCCAGCAAGATTAAAGAGTCCCCTTCAGGAGCCCAATACAGGACTCTTTCCAGGGTCTCCAAGAAGGCTGTATACTCTGAACTGCTGTTGGGTGCATAAGCACACACAACAGTCAGAGTTTTCCCCCCCATAACCCGCAGGCGTAGGGAGGTGACCCTCTCGTCCACTGGGGTAAACTCCAACAACGAAGCACCCAACCGGGGACTTGTGAGTATCCCCACACCCGCCCGGCGCCTCACACCTTGAGCAACTCCGGAGAAGAATAGAGTCCAACCCCTATCCAGAAGTAAAGTTCCAGAGCCGATGCTGTGCGTAGAGGTGAGCCCAACCAGATCCAACTGGTAACGCTCCACCTCCCGCACAAGCTCCGACTCCTTCCCCCCAAGAGAGGTGACGTTCCACGTCCCCAAAGCCAGCTTCTGTCGCCCGGGTATGGTCCGTCGAGACCCTCTGCCTTCACTGCCACCCTTCTGGCAGCGCACCCGACCCCATCGCTGTTTCCCGTAGGTGGTGGGCCCGCGGGACGGAGAAGCGGAGGTGTTGCCCACGTTGCCTTTTCGGGCTGTGCCCGGCCAGGCTCCATGGCAAGCCCGGCCACCAGACGCTCGCCGACGAGTCCTCCTTCTAGGCCTGGCTCCAGAAGGGGACCCCGGGCTTCCTCCGGGCCGGGTATCCTCACTTCGTGTGTTGTCTTTCATGAGGTCTTTTGAACCAATATTAGTCTGGCCCCTTGCCTGAGACCAATTTGCCATGGGAGACCCTACCAGGAACACAAGGTTCCAGACAACACAGCCCCCAGGTTCATCAGGGCACACAAACCTCTCTACGTAAGGTGCTGGTTCTTCAGAGAGGATATCAATATTTATAATTAAATTGTTTAACAATGCGTGACATGTGTGACATAAATGGCGGGAAAAAATATTGGTGTCTATTAATTGCCATTAGTGACCATCAATACTGGTGGTCACTATTTACTTCTAATATTAACCCTATAAAAAGGAAATACTGACAGTACACATTACTTTAAATAAATATTAACAAAATGGTGTCACTTTAATTTAAAGGATTTAATCTCTATCAATAAGTATCTTCTTATACTGACTACAGCAATAGAGGCTCCAACACTATGAGTGCTGCCCAGCAGGGCCTGAAGCCGAGCTGTACTCAGCTCCACGCTCCATCAGTCCGGCAGCAGCCTATTGTTGTGTGTCCGTCCCACTGTCCCCTGCTCCAGAGGCAGCGGAGACTACAACGGCCCTCAATGAGTCAGAATGTTGCCCACCAGACGGCCAGCCATTCATTATTAAACAGCAGAGTCAGGAGGAAGCAGCAGGTAACCTGTGGCTTAGCAATGAAAATTCAAAACGGCTGTCCAGGTAAGAGCCCGGAGGCAACTGAGAGACGGTGAATCACCAGAGAGAAACAGACGTGAAGAGACTAGAGTTCAGCTCATTTTGGAAGACTTTTCCCGACAGAAGAATATTTAAGTAATTTCTGCAGACGTAGACAGGACTTTCTAATAATACAAATATGAAATTAGTGGATTGCTGTTGGATGGGTTGGTAAGTCAGAATCTCGCTGCAAAATATCATAATGTGATGAAATGTTGTGTTTTGTCTTTTAATTTGATAAACAGAGCAATGCATGATCAAACTGAATTTATTAATTTAAAACAAAAACCAAGAGTATGATTTCCCTGCAGGTTTTACAATATTCCATTAATCATCTGAAGCAAAGGGCAAATATTAACCAGCAAACCAACAAAGTCTAGTGCAGAAATAATGAGACAGATAAGCAGCACATGAATGTATATCGCTAAGAGGTGAGCCTGACCATGGCTGTTTCTCAAATCGCGAATAAAAGCTGCTGCAGAGCCACTATTTCAAGCATACTACGTCATCGAGTGCCGCCGAAGTACTGTTCCAAACTCCAGCATACTTGGAAATCTACCGAGCCCGGCGTACTTCGTTAGGAGAAATTTTGAGGCTGCACATGTGTAGACTACGCGGTCTTAAAATCCCCACAATGCTTTGCGAACGGACCAATTTCCCCAAATCTGTGGCGGAAAATGTAAGGTGGGGCCTCTCGAAGCACACCTGCACACTTGCTAGCCTGTTCCACTCTTTTTTTTCCGAATGCCAGGAAGTATTCTTGCCTCGCTTCTGAAGCAAGATGCTCGGCAGACGTGTGCTACCAAGCAAGCGTACTCGCGATTGAGAAACACCCAGGTACTGAGCCTTCTTGGGATTGTGGTAAGGAATTTCAATATATTCTATAAAATGATAATCTGCCTGTGCTGTAATAGCCTGCAACTCTACGGATGGATGAACAGATTGATGAAGGTCTAATTAGAGGGGATATTTCCTCTTAACTAAATGTTTCCATCCATGAAGAGTGAGTCAGACAGATACTAGCCTACCCTATGTAGTGTAACTTGTAGTATAGTTCTTGAGGACACAATGTCACATAAGGATACAGACATATATGTCATCATCATGAAACTGATGTTTCTGTATCTTAATCAGGTTTCAATTTGCGTACTTCTATACATGTGCTAGTTTGAGTGCATGTGTGCGCCCTATTGCGATGCATGGAAACATTTATTAGCCGGAAGATGCAGTTAAAAGTTGTTGTGGAACACTGGACACTTCTCATATTCAAGACACAATCTTCGCGAATTGACGGAAGTAGAACGAAAAGCCGCGATACTTTTGTCAACAGAGCAATACACAAATAAAATGTATACATTAGCTTCATTTCTATATTTAAAGGTGGGGTAGGTGATTTTGGAGAAACCAGCTCCAGTGCGCTAGAATTTGAAAATACACAGCTGGGAAAAATCTGCCACTTCCTTGCAGAGCCCCTCCTCCAACACACACGAACACGCACATGACCAATGAGGGCACGAGATAAGTTTGTGCACAGATGGAAGGCTGACAGGCAGGTAGGCCATCCAGTTATTTTAGCCGGGCCGG